ACCTTTTGTTGTTGCTGTTTTGTCCACATCTTTGTTCATATATAAAGCTATCAATACCACAGAGGTCCAAGGGGTGAACGACTGTGGCAAGCACCACATCACATGTGACAGGTATTTATATCAATAGGTTGGGTGACCTTCGGGGAATCAAGAACTCCAAAAGAGCCCACATTTTAAAGTGAAAATCCTCCTTTATACACAAATCGCTGATTTTTCCTCTGGTGACAAAATTTACTAGAATACTTAGTACCCTTTCTCTGCAATAGGAGGCTTGTAAAAAAGGGTCCGGTCTTTTCAAACTTTCGGCAACCTATTCATTTCTCCTTTGCGTTCAACAGCTGCACCTTTCACGGTATTCGTAACACTTCAGGTGAGCATATGCTATATAATTATGATATTTAAAATTTAAAATCATTTCTCAAAGGCATCTAGCCAAATGATGAGAATCAGCAGTATAAATAAAATGACTCTTAACTAAATGCTTACGTGCAGTAGCAACTCTTACAGTAAAATGATATCAACAAGAGATAAGGCTCAAATGATTGTAGCCAGGGGGAGTTTCCTGATGTCACAGAGACTGTACCCCATCAACCCTGTTGCTGAGATGCTGCTTATCCCCATTGTCCTGTCTAGCCTTCTCTCCATCCTTGTAAATTCCCCTGCTCTCTCTATCCAATTTTGGCTACTCACTACTCATTTGTACCTGCCCTCTATGGTGGACAAGGGGAAAAGGACATACAATATTAAAAATATATATAATGATAATGGAAAATACTGGCAATATCAACAACTGAAAATTGTAAATACCACTGTTATTTCTGTTTCGAATCACCACTAGCAGGAAGTATTACAACATCTGAAGAACAGACAAAAATGTAGTAAATTTTGTTGTTAAAAATTGCACAATGATAATGAAAGGAGACATCAGAGAAAACACTTTCCTGAAAATTAAACCATCATCGTCCCAAAGGCAGCAGAAATGTTAAATACCGGTTGATGTAAAAAATAACAACATGGGGTCAAACTACTTTAAGCAAGTTGCTCCTATTACTTCCTCACATTCTACTATAGAATATTCTAGAATTCAATTGAGAACGGCTAAATTCAGAGCATAATGAAATTTTTGATTTATAGATAAACTGAGGATGATTCTTAGAGTAAAAGGTAACAAATGTGGACATTAAATAATACACTCATTCAACTGTTAATCATATGGTTAATAACACTAGCAAGTAGACTATACTAAATGTATATGACTAACTACATTTGCCAATAGTTATATTTTCAAAAGCAAGAGTAGGCTCGGTAAACAATCTAATACTTGTATCTATTAGTAAATTATTTAATGTCTGTAAGTATAAGCTTGCCCAAATAAATTCTAGGTATATCTACATATATTAGAGGTGATGTCAAAATTTATTTAATGAAGCAGCAATAGTTTAGTAAACTTGAGTTGGATAATCTATTGATAATACATCAAGTACAAGGGAAATAGTTAGAGACTAGAAAAAAAGTCCAGGCAGAGACTAGCAGCTCTGTTAACATGAATGCCATTGTAAACCAGAGCTGGACACACTGATTTTATAGCAACATATGTGAGAACACACAAACTGCCCTCTGATCTAATATACAGAAAATTGTGTGCCCACAGTCTAAATTACTTCACATTTCCTGGTTGGAAGTATTATTCTAACCTAAGTCTTCATAATTAGCACTCAGAAATAATATATCCTTTTGGGTGAAACGCACCTTCAAGTAATTACTTTTATGGAAGTGACTTGAAAAAGCCTGATGATGAATATTTATAACTAGCCAGCATCCTTAGAGAAAAATACCTCTAAGCATTAGCAAAAATTCACTGATGTTCAATCTAACAGAAGTTTTAACTTAGTTGTTATACTGAACATTATATATGTTTATGTGCTCTAATTCCATTACTATTAAAAGTAAACTATGCTTTATTCTGTTAAAAGAGATTATTAATACATCAACTAAAATGTTAAATACAGCTATCTCTTATGTTAGCCACAAATATTTTTAATACAACTCTTAAGCAAAATAGTATCTTTCGTATAATGGAACACCTTCACATATTTTAAAACTATATGTCTTGGTTACAAAGTACCAAAAGCTCTTTAACCGAATGCCTACTGTTTGGGGGATTCTGAACTCAGTCACTTTTTGCCTGCAATCTTGGGCCCGTAAACATGTTTGTTTGCAGAAGAGAACAACAACAAATATAACTGTTTGAGAGGTGCAACCTAGAGCATCTAGCTAAAAATCTTTCATTTCCAGAAGCCCAGCTACAAACTTGGCTGATGTAAAGCATCCTTTAACATATATTTTGCTTAAAACAAAATGGAATGTTTGTGAGGAAATACTTCTTCCAACAAACGGATCACATCAGTAATCCCACTGCTCATAACTATTTTCTAATGCTCCACATCATTACTTATTTTCATGGCTATCCAAAATACATAACACAAAGACTACTAAAGTTACAGCTATAACTCTGAATAGGAGAGTTAAAAAAGAATGAAGAAAAGCATAGAAAGAATTATTAATCTCTTATTTTTTTCAATGCAGAATTAGTAAAAAAAAAAAAAAAAAAAAAAGTCATTCCAAAACTGAGATTAAAAAAACTAAACGTACTTTTTTTTTTATATTCATTAAAACACATTAGGTACTTGCTGATGTAACTACAATAAGTTTCTGTGGTTTGTAATAAATTGGTCATTTTAGGTAATGGCTTTCCTAATCCTAAGGACTTAATTTGCCAAAGTAACGTTTAAAATAAAATTCATGAGGTGGTTTACATTTGTTTATCCTGATCTGATAGAAATTTCTAATTGAGAGTAAAAGAAAATAAGAATATACATAAATGAAGCAAAGTAGTTATCACACTTATACGAACTAGACGTTGCCATCATAAACTGGAACACACTGATTTTCATAAACCCTTACATTTTTGTACATGCACTCCCCCTAAGTTCTGGCATGTTCAGAATTAGGCTGTACAGTTAATTGTGGTGCAGTAAATCTCTAGAGCCAGTATAATTACCCCAATTAGCCAAAAGAGGGCGCAGCCAGAACACAACTAGACTTAACGCACTCCCTAGGAAACTGCCAGTTGGTTCCTTCATCAAGTCGTGGCACAAGAATTATAAACCCAGTTAGGTGTGCTAACTTGGGAATACTGAAAGTTACAGCATAAGTATACATATAGATATGCTTTAATATAGATTCTTATATAAATAGATTGATATATAGCATTTCTGCCATTCAAACAAAATAAATATATGCCTTGCCTAGTGTATCAGTTCGTATCCCAGTAACTTAGAGGAATCAAGTAGCGGGATCAGGACCAGGGAGGGTAAAGAGAAAGGAGGGAAGAAAATGGGCCTAGAAGTGGTGTATCTAAGAAAAACAAAAACAACCTGTGGAGTGGGAAAGAGACCACCTCTGGCTCTCACTGCTGAGGCAGAGGTTGGTACTGAGGACCTCCCAGGTGTGTACCTTAAAGGTAGCTACTGCTACTATCTGAAGTATAAATATGTCCATAAAACTCTTCAGTGGGGGGTCTAGAGTTGGCTTTGCTTTTTCCCAAGGTTCTCATCTGACAGGAATGTATACAGCATAAGGCATTTGACTGATATCCATCTATGTATCTACACATTACTTCCCTATAACCGTTCTGTCACCAGACCAAATTTGGTCAATGTTAGCTTGTACAAAACCCAACCCAGTTGCCTGACACGAACATACTAATTTTGTGGTTCATTAAAGCTCTATAAATATACTTCTCGTATTAAATTTACTATGCATCTTATCAGCACCAATAAATATTTTCATCTGCCACTTCTAAATTTTTAATAAAGCAGTGCAGTCAGAACATAAAAGACATGGTATTTATATCTCTGAGAACAGCTTATTCAATTATCTGAGAAGATATTTACAATTCCTGAAAGAACTAACTACAGTATAGTTAATTGGCTGACAATGGAAATCTTCGGTTTCATGATTTCTCAGGTGCGACTCCTGACTCTCAAAACTAACTAAAAGGAAAATATTGATATGCTCCAAGAACAGCAGACCCCTTCAATCTTCTCTTCAAGGCAAAGACCGTGAGGACATACATTTTCTAAAAAGATATATGGATTTTGCAGTATTCTAATGGAAAAAAAATGTAAAAGCTGAATTTTTCAAAGCATGCTAAATGTCTTTTCACACAAATCTTCTATGCTTTCCAAGAGACCATCACCATTAGCAACTTAAACTTGTATAAGCTAATGATAAATATGGATCATTATGTTTTCTTGTTGTAAGGTCATTTCTTAACATTAGCTACTAACAAAAGGTCTCTCAATCCAAATTTACAGTTGGCCGATTAAAATTTCATTTCAATTTGGGTGATTATAGGTACACAAAGGTTACTTATTTTTACTAGCAACTTCCTATAAATAAAATTTCATTATTTAGTTGGCCAATATCTATTACATATAAACCTTCAATGTGTAATTTTAGATCTACTAGTGGGTAAATAAAAGTAAAAAGTGTATATATACATGTGTGTGTTGTAAAAGCACAATATCCCTCTTTATGCTATACACTGTATACTATCTAGTACACTAGCATTTTAAAAACATATGTATTCTAATATAACAGTACTAGAAAAGGTACCTGTGGAATTATTGCAAATTCTCTACCTTTTTTGATCATCAAAATCTTAGGGTAAAATAGAATACGTGTCCGTGTGGTCAAAAATTCTGCCTTGGAGCAATCATTTTAACAACAACCAATAATTACATCAGTACAGGGAAAAGAAGTGGGAAAGTTAATATGGAAAAAAATTCATCTTTCCTTTAAAATAAGGTAGGTAGTTGGTGTTTTATTTTAGTGGTGTTTTTATTTTGTTTTTGGTGAAGAGAAAAACAGAAAGCATTAGAGAGCTACTTCTAAGAAAACACTGCCCTTTTTCTGTTGTTGTTTTTGGTTTCTTGTTGTTGTTCAATTCTATACTGCATTAAAAAAATCCTGCAGCACATATAAAAGGCAGTATTGCTATTTAAATTATGATGTATTTGAAGAAAGAAAACTTACATATAAGATGTATCAACTTTTGTAAACCCGAAGAATTAAATTCAAATTTGGTTAGTACTGCTTAAGAGTGAAAAATCTAAATAAACATCTGAAATTTCCCATAAATTAAAATCTGTAACATTGTCAGTACTAAAAAAAATTATGTACAATTATTTTATTTCAATCACTGCCGTTGGGGTCTAATCACAAAAGCATTTAAAGAAATCCCTGTGGAAAGCTAATTTGAAAGTAAACATGCTTTAAAACTTAAATATAGATCTCGTATTAGTCCCACAACAGATCAAGATCACTATTAAAATAAAGCCTGGGGCACATTATGATGCCTAAGATTGGTGGGTGGATTTTAATTGACTTGAAGACTGTCATAGTTCTATTATCAGAAAACCTGTAACGCACTTCCAGCGTGGAGGACCCATCTGTGCCCACCATCCATCTGTTTAGACGTGATTGGCAAAGTGGTAGGGAACTCGCAGTGGTTGCCTCTGCCTGAAAGGAATAAACCACAGGATCTTCCAACGAGTGCCAAAAACTTCTGAGAAGGTCTGCTGCCATGGCTTTCGGGGCCTCGATCTACAGAAGACAGCATTATTAGTGAAAGACAGCACTCCCACGGCGTACTTCAGTCAGCTAAAACAATACAGGTTGGCTGGGGATCCATTACTGGACTCTGATGAATTGTGTCCCAGCATCACAAACACAGCTTTTCTTTCATTATGGCATGCAGCTGAGTTTTAACTCTGGATAGCAGATATTGTATCTGTGTCGTCAATCAACCTACGGCAACTTTTGAAGCAGAGGAGAATCTCGGGATTAACAGAATGTGTGTCAACAACTCAGTAGCAAATCTCTTTTGATGTACTTTCGGGACAAATAATGTAACTTACTTTAGTTAGACAAGGAACAAGAAGGATCAGTACTTATTTTGTTTGAAAACTACCATGGCTTGAAGACCCCTACTGGAAGACTGGATTATGCTTGTCTAGCTCAGGCCTTAGACAGGGCCCCGAGTAAAAGCCATCATTATGTTATCTTTCCACTGCACGCACACATTTTTCAAATGTGGCCCGCCGTTTCCAGTTTTAAATAAAGAGTGCTACGGACTTCACATTTATACTTACATTTCTTCACAACAGTTTGACATCTTTTCAATAGACGTTGTATCCTATCGAAAATTAAAGAAAAATTATACTCAGATGGAACAAAGTTATCAAGGCTTTATCCTATATCTACTTTGGGAGGCTTTTCATCATATTCAGAGAATATTCTAAAGATTTAAGCAGTTTACATATGGGTACTAAGAATTTTAAATTAACCACATACATTGCTGAAATCCCCTTGACAAAAACAGAATGAACATTACACTGTGCCAAAAAAAAAAAAAAAAAAATTCAATTACAAAACCTCACAAAAATTGTAGGAGTCTCACTTTATTAAAATATAACCTTCTATTACATTTGCTTTCTTTGATAATTCTTTTAAAAGTCTAGGATTTATTTTTAATTCCAACTGTCAGTGAATATGCACTAAAAAATAAATACCAAAATGATGAATTAAAGGCACTAATGAACAGAAAACTGCCAAGAGCCAAAGAGGGCTACTGGTTCTGGATTTCTATAAACAAACACAAATCCAACAAGGCAATCTATGCATTTGCCATATTACAGTATCGATTACTCTGAAAAGTAAAGTGAAACTATTTCTTTAACAGAAAAATCAGTATCTTCGTAATAATACAATTTCTTATTATATGTTTTCTATAAAGCTCTAACACAAGTATGTAAGCGAAACAATTCAACAAAGAGAAGACAGTTTTTAGACATGCTGGTTTCATTTACATTAAGAGAAAATCCATCACTAGGCTGAGAAACTGTGATGGTAAGTAATAGCCAGAAAATCAAAACACAAATCACACATCTTATTTTAGACATATATTTACATTTTAAACATACTTCAAAGTACTACAAAAGAAAATATGTTCTTTTAAATATATGAAGAACGTGAGAGAAGTTTTCCTCCTCTTATCCTCTACTTTAAGAGCTTGCTCACATATGGCAGGTGGACTACACTGTTATTAAAAGGAACTATTCACACAGATATCTGAGATGGCAACTCCAATCCCAAGAACTTCGGTTGTAGACTCTCTTCCAATGGTACTAATAAAAAAACACGGACTTTAAAAAATTCTCCTTACAGCAGTGACATCAACAGCTCACAATATTAAGTTCTTGATGTATGAACAGTTGAATAACTACTGTTAGCCCACGTACGAGAAAAAAAAATCTATTTTGTTAGATGACAAAGTCACCAATAGCAGTGTTTCATTTCCACATTTCCTGGGAATTTGTGACAAGATTGTAGATTAGCCACATATTCCATATTCATTAGTTTTCCTATCATGCTTTGAAATTCATGGTGTCCAATGACAAGTCTATTTATAATTAACTTTTCTCAGTTTTGTTGCATAATTTCCTCAAAATAACGTTTTACTTTGTGACAACACAGTCTGCAAATACATGAGAACGTTGGTTATGGGCTTAGAGGAAAGCGGGGCCTCAGTTCCACATCTGTACGGAAAGTGAATGAAGTCATCTGAACGGTTCTTAGCACTGATGGGCGACACGTTGCCCCCAAACGATGAAGGCAGCTTGTGCAACCAGGCGAAGGAAAAGACAAGACAGAGGTCTGTAAGTGCTCTTAGGACGTGTAAGTAAATGGCCTCAAATCACATTGTGGATAATACTCACAAACTATGTCGGGATAAGAAAGACAACTACAAAGTCAGACTAGTACACCTAGTATAGTAAATTTTTACTATGCATAAATTTACAATTTGATTAAAACTTTGAGGTACTTATTTGTGGCAATAAAAGAATCAACTTCAAAGACTTTGGATTTAGACTTCATGTGGGAAAAGCTTTTACTTCCAAGTGCTTTTGACATCTTTCCAGAATCTGGTTCAAGAAATAAGTAGAATAGTACCTGTTAAGTCATTATAAACAGATGGTTTATTCTATCAAAGAATGTGATGTTTACCATGACTTTTTGAACAGGATTTGTGAGTCTAGCCAAGAAAGACTTTTTTTGTCCCCTCTAGAAATAGCAAATGCTTACCTCTCTCTGAAACTCAGCTATCAAGAATACTGTCATAAGAAAAAAATACAATTTGTATTTGAATAGCCAAACATGGCACAAACACGTCCTTGGCACTTACAGAACGTGCTCAGAACAACACAAGTCAACATGCTATCCCATTCGTAAATACAACAGGAACTGCAAACCAGAGGAGGAGAGAGGGTTACTAATGGTAGAACCCTGAAAACCACAAGTTAGTGCCAAAAGTGGCAAATGAGGTTTAATATACTTTTTTTTTGCCTATGTTGCAAAGCAGGGAAATGTGGACTATTTTAGAAAGAAACACACTAAAAATAATTAAAATAGATTTTGGTGCAGATAATTTCATTCAGCATAAAAGATTCAATCTTTAGTGACCATCAGGAAATGACCAGTAAGATACTTGCCATCTTTAAGGAGTATAAATATAATTTATAAATCCTTAGCTATACATAAAACTCAGCTATCCAGAAAAATTCGTTCTTCAAAGAACGATAAGAAACAAGTTTTTATAGTATGTTGTCTATAATCAGGATAACTTAACCTCCAGAAAAATATTTATGTCACGATGATGGGTCTAATGACCAAAATATCTAAGATTTCCATCAATCTGCCTAACTACGAGATACATGAAAATCCTTTCCTATTTTATTTTATTTTTAGAGAGAGGGAGAGAGAGAGAGAGCACATGCAAGCCATTGGGGAGGGGCAGAGGAAGAGGGAGAGAGAATCTTAAGCAGGCTCCACACCCAGCACAGAGTGGGACTCGACCTCACAGCCCTGAGATCATGACCTGAGCCAAAATCAAGAGCTGGACGCTTAACCAACTGAGCCACCCAGGCGCCCCTGCTTTCTTATTTTAAAAACTGAAAGTTTCTTTGCTAAAAAAGAATAAACTGGAAACAGCAAGACCTATATGGGCCTTGCCTATTTTATCAACCGATACTTTATCTTCTCCTGCTGGCTGATCTTACCCTAAGAAATGATCTTTCAGGTTCAGTCTAAGAAGATAAGTTAAAATATCCCAACTAATAAGATTGTATCTGGAATGGGGTGGGGGGAGTTGCTAACAGAAAGGGAGAGGAAAGTACTTATTGTCTGTTAGTAAAATTAGGAGCAGTGGGAACCAGAGAGCAAGAATTTATCACCAGGCATTTCCTGGTTAACAGTCCTGAGACTCTGGCCCTCTTGGAAGAGACAGCTTGATGATACAATCCATCCAACTGACTCATCTGCCTCGAGTTCATTTTCACCAAGCAACACTGCCATATGTGTTGTCGTACAGGAGAAAGAATGTGCTGGGAAGTCCTTTGGCACACCTGACGACTGCACATAGGAGGATAAACAGTCAATCTGGTTCATACGACTATCGCTTTGGAGTCTGAAATCAAGCGTCACTGCCTCTGGACCCAACTCTGGAAATGTTTTCAAAATGGAGTCTCTAGACCTGCCAGACTGAAAACCTGATGCAAGTTAAGAGCATTCTATCACAAAGACACAAAGACAGTTCAACCTAACCTCGATGACTGCCTACCACTCTTTATTCTTACTTTACTCTGTTGCACATACCTTATTCAGTGATTCTGTTGATTTAATCTGGAGTTAGGAACTTCTTTCACAACTAGAGATTATATACCTGTTTTACTAATGTCTATTAATTCTAAGACAGACTTCTGCTTGACTTCCTAGCCCCTCATATCAATGTAGGGACAGCAGCTTTGTTATTTTGCATAGCACCTAGCAGCGTATGTTGTGTCCAGTGGGTACTCAGTATATGTTTGCAGCACTAAGCTCACCGGACACGGACAGAATTAGCACGAGTCCTTAACCGCAATCCAAAGAGAGAACATTTCCTGTTAATCACAGCTCTCTCTCCTCCCCTGAAGCCAGGAGTCACTATATTCCTCATTTGAAATAATCAGTTCTTTAAGCCTCTATCGCCAACAGAGGACCAGCTATTTTCTTTTATCAGAGACCTGGAGTTCATGTAAACATTTAATCAGTCACGGGGCCAAAGTGAGAAGGCAGTAGAGCTTTTATGTGTAGTCACTGAAAATCTCTTTCCAAAATAATTCCTGTACTTCTCTTCATCAAGCCACTTTCTGGCTGTACAAAACCGCAGGAAAGTTACTAAAACTCGGTATCTCAATTTTCAAATAATAACTCCTTACTCATAGATTTTGGTAGCATTAAATGAGTTAATATATGTTAGAGCCCTTAATAACTCCTCAATAAATGGCAGTCCTACTTTTTACTGATATTGCCTGTTACGCTTTTTATTGATATTGCTTCCCGCTACACTCTTTTTTTGAGAGGGCTTAGAGATACAGTACCTCAACTACATCAGAATATAACTTCTAAAAGGTGGATTTTATAATGAAAGATAAAATGACAAGGACAACGGGACACTACACAGATAAAATCCAATGTCCACGAGGGGCTTACAATCCAGTTGAAAAAATAAGTACTACGCACAGAAGCCAGGATTCATTTACTCGTTTATCCATCTATCAAAAATTTACTACGGACCTATGATAACACAATCCTTAGCATCAAGGAGTTTACAGTCTAGTGAAAGCAGTCAAGTATACAAGATAACCATACAGAAATACACAGAGAATGCCAGAGAGAATGGTTACAGAGAATGCCAGAGAGAATGGTTACATACAATAACACATTGTGTAAGTCAGCCTTATGCTAAACATTTCAAACAGCTGGAAACTATGCTCCCAATCAACACTCCAGGTCAACTACTCTTAAACATTTTTAATACAAAATTATACTTTCAATAAGATTTTTGGTTACCAGTATACTGGTAAGATGGGCTAATGTGCCTCTCTGGCTAAGATTTAGGGAGTAACTAATATATTGACAAAATGTGACAGAGAAGTATATGAATTGTTGTGAGAAAGACCTACAAGTTAACTATAAATATAGGATTCAATATTTTCTCCAATTCTACGGTAATGTATTAAAGTCAGACCAAAAATTCATGTAGATTCAGAACATGAGAAAATAAAATGAATGTTTGGGTAAAAATGCAAATAAAAT